TCCTGATGTAGAATTCTGGCTACTAGGTTGTTTCTGTGCAAGTACTCAGAGTTAGAAAGCGCCGAACAACCGAAGATGACATGCCTAAGCGACTCACCGGGATGGCGACAAGCTCGACAGACGTCGACGGTGCCATCCTTTAGGATTATTACTATTATTAAAAAAACATAAGCTATGCTCCACCCATCCCCACCACCCATGTCCCATAGGGAGCCATTGTGATTCACCACCATGTGTAAGTGATTGCGTGCTTTTTTACAATAAGTTAATCATCTTGAAGGCCTTGTTTTGAGTCACTTAAAATGTAGGCATGTCTTTATTTCTTTGTTGTTCTGAGATTACAATAAAGTTAAACCCGTGTGATCACCTCTTTGGGAAAAATTTCCTTCAATGGTTATTTCTGTAGTAGTAATTATATATATTTCTGTAGTAAAAATATCTATACGTAGTAGAGCTATGATGCAGTTACATTAGTAGTAAAGTTGTAGCACGAATGGGTCGGCTCAACCGGGGAAGGATCACGCTCTCACCAGTGGTAAATGAAAAAAATACTTTCAATAAGTATTGTTTACAATCTATATTGAATAAAAAAGTTTCTGTTTCTGTGTAGAGATGAGACTAAAGATTTTCTTACGATACCTTAACGCAATAAAATAATCAGAAAAATACTAAATTAATTTTTCATATTTTTAGCAGCTTAGAAGTCATTTATCTGAGCAACTTCGACATGTACAGATCCGGATTGTAAACCAAAACACATAGAATAGTTTGTATGGTGGTCTCTTAACTGCCAACATGTTGTACTCCGGAAGGCCCAACCTTGGCGTCCGAGATCAATGCACTGAAGGCTCAGGCGGATCTCTAATCCATAATGGCGTCGTTGTTGGAGTGTGCTCTTTCGGCAATGATTGTGGTTAAGCTCAGTTTCCTGGTGTCAATACACGCGTCTCTAGATACGTCATGAATTCAAAGCAATGCGTAATGTTTTCAACGACATTATTAATAAAATTTAAGCAAACTACTGCCATTTGTTTATCACAATCCTGGATCGACTTATGATTTTATACGTTATTTTTGTATACATATAAAATATAAACTTTTCATAATCAGTTTTCAGAAGAAGTTTTGAAGGACTATTAACTCTATTGACAACTTATATTATGTAATTATATATATATATATATATATATATATATATTGTTACGAGCTTGAGGTTCGTGAGAATAAAAATTGCCGATAAAATTACCTAAATTAACACTTTAATTTACTTTGCACAAATTAAAACTTAAAACACTAATAATTAAACACACTAATTCACTTAATTCCGCTCCGAAGCTTCGCTCGTATCGCCAATTCAATACTACCTCGATCGCATCTTGCAGCGCCTATTTATATAAATTAGCAAAGAAGCATCCGGAATATTCAAGTAAATGCGCGCAAAGGGACGAGTGTGCGAGTGTAGATTTTCTAGAAACTTAGTTCTTCGGATGGCGCTGTCGGTTGAGTGATTTGTGATGTCATTTTCTCAATGCTCCCCCTCGCTCTCGTTCCTGACACTAGATGGCGCTAGTGTATCGTCGACTTGAGCGCGTAACAATATATATATATATATATATATATATATATATATATATATATATAATATACTTCGTTCCTCATTATTCTACTCCTCAAAATGTGACAATAAGCATTTACACGCTTCTGTTTGTGATAGAGCGTTCCTAAATTAAAGAGATTAATTAATTGTAATCCGTTATCTTGCGAAGTTATAACGTGTTCTGACTATTCAAAGTTGGAACACTGACTGTTAACCGACTGCGCGTCGTCGCAACGCAAATTTGAATGTTGCGGAAGCGCATCGGAAAGGACAGTGGCGAACTACCAAACAATTTTTTTTTGATATTTTCCTGAACAATTAACTATTCAGTCATACTACTTCAGGAAGTCAGGAATAAAAGATATTCCACTTTGTACAAAATTCACTAAGCTGTATGGTACATATACAGCTTAGTCTGATATGAATTTTGACTGCCTTTATTGGCGAATCGTTACAACAACGACATCTGGTCAATTTATTATTATTACTATTAAGCCTCGTCTTCATTACATTCGGGATCTTCGTTTTTATACATTTTTTTCTTCACAATATGCTAATCACGTCACGTTCTTAAGGCGCCCAAACGAACATTATATTAACATCGAAGCATTTGTTTCGTCCTTTCAACGAATAGTTTAGATGCGCAGACTTTTCGTCGTTATAAGAAAGTCGCACAGGATGATATGGGGTAGTAGACTTTCTTTTATCGGCTATACACGATATTAGAAAATAACTTTTTTACGATACTCAGGGGATGGTATTAGGTCTAAGTATGAGGTCGTGGAGTCTCTTACGCTGCCGCTACAAGGCACTATCAAGATCCTGTCTTCACTTTTTGATTTCAAAATATTTTCTTTTAAGAAGATATAGCTTTCTTGATGGTTTTACTTTTCGTTGAGCAAGTGGTAAATCAGTATATAACATTAGGATTACAGATGAATTCTAACTCGCTTATGAACCGTGTGACTGTCAAGACTTAGTATTCATACCTCACTAATTATTTGAATAATAGTAAGTCTAGTTTTATTTTCTTTACAGTTTTAGACATTTATTGAAGGATTAATAAAAAAAAAACTCACATGTGTAACCTTAATGTTTCACCTATGTCGGTAGTTGTTGGGAGCACTCGCTCGAAGTTGTTGACGAGTATGTTTACCTGGGACAAATAGTCACCCAGTCAGGGTAAGTCTAACTTCGGGAGGTCAATCGACGGATTCAATTCGGCAGCGTTCGGGAAATTACGACACATTTTCCTGTCAAATATAAACCAAAACCTGAAAACGAGGTTGTAAAACCAGTGCGTGTTGTCAGCGATGAGTGGCTATGCTCATGGTTTCCCTGCGTGATAAACTTCGAAATGAGGAAATCTGCAGTAGAACCAAAGTGACCAACATAGCTCAATGGATTAGTAAGCTAAAGTGGCAGTGGGCCGGCCATATAACTGGAAGAATCGACAACCGATGGGAAATAAGGTTCACTAGTGGCAGCCTCGTACCGGTAAGCGAATTTAAGGCGATCCTCCACTAGATGGAGTGACGACCTGGTAAGACGATGCAGGTAGCTCTGGACCGTGCTTTGTGGCATTCCTTGGGGGAGGCTTATGATCAGTAGTAGACTTGTGAAGGGCTGTAATGATGATGACACACGGAGCACCTAATATTAAATGTGACCCATAGCCATATACTTTTATCTTCAATTAAGAATTAAAATGGATATATGTTGTCACTCTTGAGGATTAAGACGAAATGCCTCGTTACTAGTAAAGAGTCTGCGGTTTTCTACACTCATCATATGCAACATAGCAGCATTAAGCTGCTATTTTACGCTGATATTCCGAGAGAGCGTGTTCTAAAAAACAATATTAATGTTATTTTAATCAACAAATCATGAACTTGGAGGTGTGCATGGCGATGTAAACGATATAATAAAAAAATAAGTTCAAATTTTGAAAATGGAACTCTTTGCCAATATTATTGTATTTTATGAAGTTGTCATTTGTTTACGATTTGGCGGCAAATAGAAAATTGTCTGCGTCACGGTGTGTTTAACGCGAGAAAATTTTCATACAACGATTTTTTATGACTTTCGATGTCATTTAAGTCAACAAGAAAGTTATGATAGACTTGGATTGGCCTTTCACGATGAAACACCATTTCGTGCCACTGTTTACAACTGCTTTAATGAGTTTAATCGTGGTCGCACTAATCTCACCGATTATCTGCGAGAGAGCGCCTTCTACGGTGACGACTGAAGATAACATCAGTGTTGTGCGGCGTATGATAGAGACTGACAAAAGAGTGACTTATCAGCAGATTCGGACAAGCATAGGCATCGGTATGGTCAACTGCACAAAATCCTCCATGAACATCTAGCGGCCAGGAAGCTTTGTGCCCGGTGAATATCTCATAATTTGACAGAGGCCCAAAAACTCCGTCGTGTTGATTGGTGTCGTGAAATAGTTCAAAGCTTTAACGGAGGTGACTCAAATGCTGTGTTCGACATACTTACTGGTGACGAAAGTTGGACTTATTGTTATGATTCTGAAACTAAGAGACAGTCTGGCGGTGTGCGATGAGGCGTTGTCGTGGTGAAGGAGGATATGACCTCGCAGTAGGATCCTCCTTCACCGCGATAGTGCTTCGTCGCACACCGCCAAGCAAACAATTGAACACTTGGCGACGTCAGACGTGGAATTACTGAGTCATCCTCCCTAAAGCCCTGACCTCGTACCTTGAAATTATAAGAAAAACTTCGAGGAAAACGTTTTATGGCCGCTGAGGAAGCTGTAGAAGCGTTTCAAAATGCCGTCGATGAGACCCCTAAGGACGTGTGGGCAAAGTGCTTTTCTCAGTGGTTCCATCGCATGCAGCGATGTATTGATGTAAATGGACACTATTTTGAAAAGATATAATAAAACTAATAACTTGCTAGTTTGCTTAGTTTTTGATTTTCTAAGAACTTTCAGTTTGATCCTCGTATCCCTTATATTAATAAAAATAAAAACAATTTTTTTAATATTTTCTCAGTAAATTTCAAAGACTACTTCTTGAAAAAATTATTCATAAGTGATAAGACGTTAAATATACCGAGTCACCGATCTTAGTAATACTAACATTATTATCTACATCGTTTGGCTGTCATTATAATATTTTTAAAGGATATTTCCTTAAAATTCCGATTTCTTTACCCAAATAGGCTCCTAAACAAAAAGGCGAGATTATTAATTAATACTGAGAAAACTTACCTTATCGGGTAATTCATTAAAGAGGATTATTTAAGTTGTCAAAAGTTTATCCCAACGATTAAATGATTATGATATGTTTAAGCTCATTAAACAGTATTTCGACCTATTGTATAAATATTATTTCTTAGAAGTCATTCAATAGTCTGCAAAAATTCCACAATGCGCGCGACACTTTTACTGTTGGCTTTAGGCTTAGCTGCTGTGGCAGGTAATCAAATACATTTTTTCGATAGTGGATTAAAAACTTTTTTAAGAAGTTTAAATTTTTCGAATTAGTTAACCACTCACTAAAATTATACCGCGAATTCAGCGCGTAGAACTTAAACAAAAAACTCCGGAGATCTGTAATAGTGGTCTTTAGAAAGTAGTTCAGTTATAGAAAAATCTTTTTAGTTATTTGCCATTATTTAAAAAACCGTATGAGATATTTTATAATAGATATTAAATATCTAATATTTTTAATATGATAAAGGCTCATAAGTTATAAGTCATGTTAACCCTTCAATCGCGATAAAAATCCCATGCAGTCGCATGCGTCCGTCAAATCCCGAGCGGTCGCATGTGACCTCACCAACACAGCATTTATAACTATTAAAACTTATATTTAGAGACTATTTTTCTGCGAAGAAGTTTGGCATTATAAAATCTATACAAAATTCTCTATTCTGTGGTCTAAACAAAAGTCAGGTTTTACTTCTTTACAAAAATATTTTATTGTATTTTGATTACAAAAAAAGTACATACCAAGGGGATGTCGGCAGCGTGAAAATCACAATTACTTCGATATATTACTCGAAATTATTTACGTAAAGTAAAAAAAATGCTACAAATCGTAATTGCATCAAAACATCAAGATAGAGATTATAAAGTGTAACCAGTAAAATTTTGTTCCGATGCTTTTAGTTCCCTTTGAATTAACGAGATATTTATCAAAAACTATTTATTTATCATTTCATCGATTTCACTAAAATCATCTATGTTTTTCTTTTGTTTTGTTTTTTTGAATAAAATATAGCCTAGATCATATCTAGCTCTGTTTATCTCTTCGTGAACTTTCGCCACAATCACTTCGACCATTGGACTGAAAAAGCGGATAGTAGCACATACAGATTTTATAGACAGTTTAAAAAAATGGTTACATATATTACAATAGAATACAGTAATTTTTATATAAAACTATAATAAGTTTATATTACATCGTCGTATGTGCTACTACTTATCATGAGGTTCGGGGCTCAATTCCCAGGTCAGGTCAAAATCAGTTATTGAGTTTTTCTGTTAAGGAATTATCAGTAGCAGCCTGGAGTCAAGAAATCATGCGGTGTTTCATTCCCTTGCGGTGAATTATCACGTAAAGCTCTAGGTTCTGCGCCTGATCTCACTCCAGTTTAGTCGGATTGCCTCCCATCAGACTATGAGAGTGAGAGAATTGAGACTACACTTGTGTTTGCGCATACACCAGGCTAGTTACCGTTAGGACTGGTCGCCGTGAACGGAATCCGGTTTGCAGGACATTGATTTTTTTATTATCATACTAAATTATGTATATATGTATTTCTGTATGTATAATATTTAGAAATAACCTTTTTAGCAATTTTTTTGCTTTTTAATGATATACATAATGTTTTTAACGTTTAATGTTTGTTTACAGCCGTCCCTAAAAATCCACAAAAGATAGTTGGTGGTTCAACGACAACTATCGAACAATATCCTTTTGGTGCGTCTCTTCTTTATTCCTGGTTTGGTATTCTTTACAATCAAGCTTGTGGCGGCACTGTATTAAACAACAGGGCTATTCTTTCTGCTGCTCATTGTTTTGTGTAAGTAAATTTAAAAATGATATGGTTATCTTTGTAGTCGTATCTAAGACCAAAAAAGAAAGATAGATGGAGCGCTGCACACATATACATTTCAAGTGATGCCGAAAGCATGCTCATCTTCTTGTATACACATGTATTTTCTTTTTTTTATCAGCACGTAAAAGTTCACTGTTGAACGCACACATATACTTCTAAAACCATGTCGTTAGTTGCAACAATAAGTTTGGCAAGTTTTTGGCTTGGATTTTGCATTATATGAATGACTCTAAGCATAAAGCCACGCTGCAACTATGTTATCGTTGCAGCACGAATGGGTCAGCTCTACCATGTAAGTACCACGCTCTTACAGAATACCAGCGTCAAATAGCAGCCCAATTCTGTTGTGTTTTGTATGGTGAGTGTGGATAACCGGAGACCCTTTTTACTGGAAACGAGGCATTTCATTTTAGGCCTTAGGGGTGGTGGTAACGCATCTGCATTTTGACTTTTATATGTTTATGGGTCACGGCATCTACTTACCATCAGGTGGACTGTACGTTTGTCACCCTTATTCTTTACAAAAATGTTCTATGACACTCACAAAAAAAGATCTCGACTCGACGACCCGGATCGAATTCGAACAAACATGATCCAACAGCAGCTTAACTCCAAATTAAAATCGTACAAGGAAACAACAGTTTTGTCTACTTGCATCCTCATATCACAAAATGATGCTGTTAAAATATAAAAATAAATTATCAATGACATTTGTATGATTAATTTGTTACAGTGGCGACAATGCGAACAATTGGCGAATTCGATTGGGTTCTTCCAATGCCAACAGTGGTGGTCAGGTCTATAATACAAACCAGATCATCTCTCATCCCGACTACAATTCGCGCACGCTTGATAACGACGTCGCTATTTTACGTTCCTCGTCCGCTTTCTTGTTCAGCAACAGCGTCAGCGCTGCAAGCATTGCTGGTTCCGGTTACAATCTTGGGGACGACCAAGTTGTTTGGGCTATCGGATGGGGTACCACATCCGTAAGTCATTCTTTCCTTTTAAGTATTTGCGTAAAATTGAAAGTAAATTCTTATCAGTTCCCGGCTTTTAGACGTTATGTTTAGAAACTGAGTTTTTTCTGTTTTTTTTTTTTATAAAGAAATTAAAATATAAATTAATAAGCTAGTTAATGTTACCCAACTAAAATTATAAATTCTGCGGCTACCAACTCAGCGGCTTAGCGTGACAACTATGGCAAATATCCACCTAATGAAGCAATCTATGGGGAAGTAGTCATAACTAATAGTTAATAATATCTATGTCATCATTGGATTGATGGGCTGTAATGATCATAACGACATACCTTCTAAATATTTTTATTATTCAGTCGTACAGATTTTCTCACGATGATTTACTTCCAAGTACGCAGTAAATCAGCGCTTAAAATTGTAATAAACGATTTCATTGGTGTCGACGATGTTCCAATCCAGGTCGCTCATGTAGTGTGAAATTTATAGCGAGCTCGTAGTGCCTTAGCTAGCATGGCTATTAACATAATATGAATTATGAAACACATTTGGGCATGACTAATTTTTTTATAGGACAGGGTGACAAATTAAATGAAAATAATGTTATTTTAGGTTGGCGGATTTTCTTCTGAGCAATTACGTCACGTTCAAATATGGACCGTGAATCAGGATATTTGCAGAATTCGTTACGCAGAGTTAGGCATGACTGTCACTGACAACATGTTGTGCTCCGGTTGGTTGGATGTCGGCGGTCGCGATCAGTGTCAGGGTGACTCTGGAGGACCTCTCATCCACAACAATGTGATCGTTGGTGTGTGTTCCTGGGGATATCGGTGCGCACTCGCTCGTTACCCTGGTGTTAACGCTCGTGTCTCGCGCTTTACTTCTTGGATCCAATCAAACGCTTAAATCAGTATAAGTAAATGATATCACATAAATATTGATGTTATAAAATAGTTTCTAAGGAATAAACAAGAGTGATTAAAATTTGTGTTTTCTTGTTATTGTTGTTGTGTGCACTTTGTACATACAAATTAATAAACAAACCATTTTTTAATTGGCCAAGCAACTGGGACTGTGAACTACTTGTTAAATGCAGCGATTATTACTGATATGGTAAAGACTTGGACAAATGTGACAGTGACGACACCTTCCGAATATTGTCGGAAGCTATCAACTACGCAGAAAATATTATAGCACTGAAAGTGTATGCGTCAGAACAGAAGCACTTAGTCTGGCCTAGTTTTATGGGGCAATCTACCTCGTACATCGTAATCGTACTCTTTTGTGACAACATCGGGGATTGTGGACAAATGTTGACCTCTCCAGGCGAACAAGTTGTGTACAAAACAGCCGGTTCGAACCGTTGGGCCGCTATGCTCTGGGCATCAGGATATACGCTAGGTTATTCTGTCAATTTGGGATTGGGCTATTTGTACTACTACTACTAGTACTAAATACTTATGTATTTTATCAGGCAGTCGTCGGCCTGGATAAAATACGTAAGTTTATAATATTAACTACTTTAAAATATATCCGTTAACAAGAGTTAAAAGTCTGTGAATTTAAGAGTGAATTTCAAGAATGTAAACGTAAGAAGCCTTTTTTATAGCTAAATCAGTTGCATTATATCATCTTCGGTAACATTCCCAATAGTATATAATACAGTAGTAGTATACACTAATAGTTTTACCAATGCCCTTTATTACGAAGTATTTCATTGTTTTTCGAAGTATTCTCCGTTGAAGTTAATGCACTTTTCCATTTGTGTAAACCAATCATTAAACAGTAATTCCAGTCTGAAGTTGATGTTGACAAAATGGCTAATTTGTACGCTTCTACAACTGCTTCGGGGTCTTTAAACCGATGACAGCGTACTAAATCCTTCATTCTAGGGAATCTAAAGAAATTGTTTGGGCTCAGGTCAGGACTGTACGGAGGATGGCTCAACGTTTTCCTGCTTCAAAAAATCATTTGTCTCCCGAGCCGTATGGGAGCTCGCATTATCGTGATGTAAGATGATGCGACGTTTCGTGTTATTTTTTTGGAAAACGGCCAAACAAACCGTGATATACCACTCAGCGGTAACCGTTCTGCGTTCCTGTATAGGAATTGTAGCAACATGCGCCTTTTTCGAGAAAAAAGTAGCGATCATTTTCTTTGACACGCTGCTGGAGCGAACCACTTTCGTTGGTTTGACCTCGTCTTCGAAGACTCAAACTGCTGACTGATGTTTTATTTCAGGTTCGTATGAATAAATCCATGATTCGTCACCTGAGACGATATTATAAACGGCATTTGACTTCCCTCCGTTGAAGCGTTGCAGAGTATTCCGGCACAAATCTACACGAGATGCCTTTTGCTCTTCGGACAAATTGTGGGGAACCCAGCAGGAAACTAGCTTTCTTACACACAGCTCATTATGTAATATCGACTGAATTGCATACATACCGATACTGATAACAGCCTGAATCTGCTCGTATGTCATATGTCGGTCATCTAATATAATAGTTCGCACAGCTGTAATGTTTTCAGGCGTGACCGCTGTTCTTGGTTGACCTGCAGAAGAAACAGTGCTGAGCGACACACGACCGTGTATGAACTCGGCATACCAGCGGTATATTGTCTTTTGACTAGATGCTTCAACATCATAAATCGAAACAAGTTCGCTGAGACATTTATCTTGAGATAAGCTGCTACGAAAATTGTGATAAATTATGGCACGGAAATGGTCACGCGTGAGCTCCATTTCTGTTAACGACGTGTCAACTTTAAACCAAGATAGTTTTTGTTTTTTAACATTTTTAATTGTTTGAATGTCATTAAGATTCTGAGAGGTCAGTATTCAAATTCTAAAAAACGAGGCTCATATATTACAACCAGTATGTTTACCGCAGAGGCAAATCTACGGAAAAAGCCCCGATCAGTGTTATTGAAAACGTTGAAAAAGGACTAGAGGATAAAGAAATAGCTCTTTGTGCCTTTCTAGATATTAAGGGCGCCTTCGACAGTAGATTTGGGTATAGATCACTGCTAATTGGGGCCCTGGCATCTAAAAATGTTGACCCTGCAACCATTAGGTGGGTGAAGTCAATGCTCTCAAACAGATAGGCAAAAATAGCGCTGTTTCAAACTTCGATTGAGGTTGGAACTACAAGAGGCTGCCCACAAGGAGGTGTTTTGTCACTCCTTCTTCGGACTCTTGCGATTGACCAATTATTGTACAAGACGGCAGACCTACGCATTGACGCACTGGATTATGCTAATGACCTTGTGATCATTGCGAGGGGCTTTTGCCATAGTACTTTTTAGTTAATCATACAAAGATCCCATAAATAACTGGTGTAAGGATAACAGTTTATCAGTAAATGCTAATAAAACTGTTATAATACCCTTTAACAAAAAGAGACAGTTGGACAAATTAGTTACACCAAAACTCAATAGCAAAGAGGTACCATTTTCACTGAAGGGCGTAACAATCGACCAAAAACTAACGGGGAACTCTCACCTTGGCAACGTTTGCCATAAGGAAAAAATTGCTTTAGGTACGTCCAGTTGTTTGGTCGGGAACAACTGAGCGCTTGCGTCCCAGTATGGTCCTATGGTTGTACAGCAGCATAGTGAGGCCGATTCTTACTTACGCCACCACTATTTGGTGCATCAAGGCCAACCAAAAGACGACTGCGCACAAACTAAATATTCTACAAAGGATTGCCTGCTTAATGGCAACTGGAGATATGTAATCATCGCCTGGAGTGGCTCTTAATGCACTTATATGCGCAACGCCCCTAGATCTTTATCTAGACAAGGAGGCGAAGGCTAGTTTGTATAGAATTAATGCCCAGGGCGGTTTGAGCTTGCTCTCCTACAGATTGAGATTCATGATCGATTCAATTAAGGAAACACTGGTCTTGTGCATGACCGCAGATATCATGCGTCCACAGTACACTTTTGATAAATACAAATAGTGGATCTGTGAGGTCGGTAGCTTCATATGATAAACTGATGGGTCAAAAATAGGCCTCAACGTAGGCTTTGGAATTTATGGGGAACACCCCAAATTTAAACTTAGTATGAATTTGGGTAGATTCATTTCTATCTTTCAGGCATAAATCTTCATCATAATTCACTGTGCAGAAATTAATCTACAAAGACACTACGTCAACAATGTAATCTATATAAACTCTGAGAGTCAAGCAGCAGTGCTAGCGCTGAGGTCAAACTTAGTGAACTCGAAGCTAGCTTTAGACACCGTGAACAGTTTGAACTCCCCCGGATGCAACAGCAGGATCGTATTAAGATGGATTCCGGGTCACGCGGGTATTGTAGGTAAGGAATTTGCCGACAAACTCGCACGGGAGGGCTCGAAGAACCCACATTTTGGACCTGAAACATTTTGTGGAAAATCAAGAAACCTAGACCCATTGACCCTTGAAATTATTTATCACAATAAATTACTTAAGATCTGGTCTGAAACATCAGGCTTGAAACATTCTAAAACCTTAATCCGGGATGTTGATCGTAAATTCGCTTCGGAAGTCCTGGGGTTAGGCAAAGATAAATTGCACATTCTAGCAAGAGCCCTAACTGGACACTGTTATCTTAAAAAGCACATGTCCATCCTGAGACTAAGTAACTCAAGAATATGTAGGTTACATACACGATATTACATAACGAAAGAAATGCCTCTGCACATCCTTAATGATTGCGTACCCCTAATGCGCAAACTTTACACACATCTGGGAAACTATGTACTCCGCCCAGAAGAAGTGAAATCGCTCACAGTTAAGCCACTCATTCTATTCATTGAAGTCATAGGGTTAAGTAGAGAACTATAGCCATAGCAGCGATCACAATAGATCTTTTAGGTCGCATTGATACTGGCCTCTTTCCCTAGACCTGCACAGCTACTCGCACAAAACAAAATAAATCCAATTTTGACCGAGAGGTCAATCGAAGGATTTTACTCGACTGGACGGTGTTCAGAAGATCACGAGACATCATCTCGTCATACTTCAAAACTTCAAAAGATTTTACAAACATTGTTCCAGTGATGATTTATGGGTCTAAGACTTCACTGCTGGCGGTTTGAGAAAACTTAAATTCGCTCAGCAAGCTATTGAGATAGTTATGCTCAGGGTTTCTCTGCGTAATTCAAATAGAAATGAGGATATCCGCAGTAGAACCATAGTAATCTAAATAGTTGCCCATAGCTCGTAGCCCAATTAGTAAACTGAAGTGGCAATGAGCCGGCCATATAGCTTGAGGAACCGACAAGATGGTGGCTCGTATCGGCGACGAAGTAGTATAGGCCAGGTCGTCACTCCATTTAGTAGGGCAGCCCCCCACTAAATGGAGTGACGACCTGGTAAAATACGCAGGAAATCGATGGATGCAGGAGGCTGAGACCATGCTTTTTGCAGTTTTAGTTTTTTTTGCAGTACTTTTATAATAATAGAATACTAAAAAATAAAAATATAAATTTCTTTGCAACTTTCCGCTAAACATATAAAATGATGTGTCTTACCTGGATTGAAGCACACCTCCCGCCCTCCCTTAATTGCATACACTAACTCCGTCACCACTAGACCAAGCACCACTACTCTCAACACCACTATTCCAGGCAAGACACACCATCGACAATAATACGACACGTGTTTCGCCTCTACACGAGGCATCATCAGGTAATATAGACTCTACGGCGGCTGACCGCTAAGAGACTTAAGCTACTTAGCGGTCTAGTGGTGACGGAGTTAGTGTATGCAATTGAGGGAGGGCGGGAGGTGTGCTTCAATCCAGGTAAGACACATCATTTTATATGTTTAGCGGAAAGTTGCAAAGAAATTTATATTTTTATTTTTTATTATGATGGATTTCCGCAAAGTAACGCCTGATTCTATCAATTATAA